TTGTGTTCAGCCACTGCGGCCTGACGGGTTACGGATTAAATGCACTGGTTCTATTCAGTCAGATTTCTGGGTCATGTCAGGCGATCTTGTATTCAAATTTTCGCTGGAGCTCCGCAATAATCGGTCTGGCTATGTGTGCGGGTCCACCATCTTGCTGAAACTAAATGATATTGATAAGCATACGCCTTACGAACAGTTCTGGGTGTAAAAGCTCATTAAACATAGTTAAATAACAGTTAAATAACAGTGCTCATTGACAGTTACTATTACAAAGTTTTATTCAAAGATGATGAAACTGTCTTATTTGAGGTGAAGTTCCGTCTCGTGGATTATTTCTGGATTTAGTTCACTCTATGCACGGCAGTTTGGCATTTACTTTTCCGTTTAGATGGAAATGAGCCACATCAGACATGAACAAGTAATTTATCAAGTTATTGTCTTCTTCGACCAGTTCAATCATTATTTGGCGAAATACCAGGCGAATAAGACGAATAGGCAAATCTGGAGAGTTTAGTGGGCTTGTTATTTGAACTTTGTCTGGAAGCAGGTTTAAGTCATCCTTATCCTTTAAAAAACACAAATATGTGGTTACGTTATATCAAAGCTCCCATCTTTGGAGCTTACGAGCTCAACATTTTACTACAACTTTGCGAATGATCTCTTTATGTTCTTCCATTTTAATTTCTGTTTCCTATACTCCGCTGAGCATTTTTTAACATCACTCAATCCAACAATATGTTATTTCAGAACTAGAACAAATATTGAACTGAAAGTTCTGTTTTTCGCACATAATTTTGTACATCCTGCGTTCAGACTTTAGATTTATAAGAAAAAGAGACTTTTATTATACCCACTATAGATTTATAATATAAAATTGATCTACAGAAAATTTCGAAAACAATACTAAAATCGACTCGAAGTTTTCCAAATGGTTTTATCTTGTTTTTGAGATAAACATGTGACCCAAATCTCGTTTTCTCCGCTCTATGCCGATCTCACTTTCTGACGATTTCAATATATCGAAGCAGTATAATGTATATATAGCATATAGAAACGCACTGTATATAGAACTATATTTAAATTTTTATAAATATTTTAATTTCCAACAAATTCCTTAATCTTTAATTTGGTGCGAGTATAATAACAAAAAATTTATGAACGAAATCTGTCGCTCTAGGCTTCAGCCTACGCAGCCCGCTGGTAGCTCGGCCATTGCCAAGCAACACGGTTCCCTAATTTCGCAAATCATCTCACCTCAACACTTCCCTGTGGAGACACTGTTGTCGAAACTGCTCTTTTACTCTTTATTACCAAGTAAGGCGCATAAAATTAAGACATCCAGAGTCTTGTGAAATCGTTTTTCTCCAAAAAATATTAAAAACCTAAAAAATCCATTACTTATCGCACCAGCCTCTTATTCCGGCAGAGGAATAACCCAGAAGCTTAAAAGTGTGTCAAAAAGGAATATGTATGTATATATTACAACGGTAATTAAACACACACGACCGCTAGTACATAAGCTTGCGTCTATTCAACTGTTATGCGGCATACAATTCTTTGCCTCCATACACAGCATTCAACCGGTTATGTAACAGCGGAATTGATTGCTCAGCAACAAAGCCCTTATATTACTTCCTTTAGTAACCGTTACAATATGTTCCCTTCTATGGCTTCGGCAGAATTTCCATTATCGTCACAAAATACAAAATATACAAAACACTGCTAACAATAACAACAACACAAATCGATGATTAAGCAGAAAAAATACAGGCAATTGGCAATGAAGTCACTGCAATGAGTTCTATGAATGAACTCCCACACATGCACACAAACAACACGCATAGAAACATACCTGCGTGGACATTAGAAAAGCAATAAAACTCTGCTGAAATCTTGCGCAAACTAGCCGCTTTGGCCCCCCAGGAAGACTGTTAGATAACGCGCCTTAATGATGATCTCAAGATTACATATTATATATACTATATCCTATAGGTAATTTGACAAATGCGTGTCTTCCCATTAACGAGGGTATTACAAATTTTAAATACACGTTGAGCCTGCATTAAGCGCAGAGTGAGCTTTCATGTATATGTATAATGAGAAGACTTCATATTTTTATGGGATACGCTTTATTAGCACATTATATTGCATACTTTATGGCGTAGGTACTTTTAAAATATAAATGGTGTCTTATGCTGACTGCATAAATGGCTCAATCGTAAACATTTTACGTGCTAAATAAAGAAAGGAGCCTAAATGTGACATATTCAAAGTTTATAACAAAAACAAGTTATTTAAAGAACGGCAGAAATACAAAAACGGACTTTTTCTAGTTAGATTATAGATTCATCATATCACCTTACTTAGTTGCAGCAAATAATTTTCCGATATTTTATATGGGGGTTTGGTGAGTAATTTCTTCCATACAATTTAGTTAATGAAGACTCATAGTGATTGCATCATTTTAATACTCTTGCACCATATTGCTACAGAGTATAATAGTTTTGGTCACCTAACGGTTATAGGTATCACCTAAAACTAAACGAGGTAAGGTATTAAGGTATAATATTTTCCTGGTTCGATTCTTGCAAGGCGAAAGAGCATATAATATTCGGTTGTATCCGTCTCTCTTATGTGAAAAACTTATCAAAAATTATTCAACTCCAAGCCACCACTGAAAGAAAAGGTGCGTTCAGTTTTTTACATATCTTCCTAACACATAAGATCCCTGCACTTCACTGAATTCAAATGAGATAATTTGCTTCCAAAACCCGCAACTTTGGCCGCTACTTTTAATACCAATCTTCAGGAATACCTCAATAAAAATATATTTGTACGCTGAAAATCATCTAACACGTGGGTTGCCTTTATATTTCTAGATATGGCAACGATAGTCTGACTTTAACGCGAACTTTAGACATTTTTGATGTTACACCTTCTCAGAACGTTTTGACATACGTGCATTATTTGTTTACAGTAACTCAAAAAAATCAGACAAAGAATGGACTTTAATCGATAACATTTTCTAGCGATTATTTTGTACAGTTTTCGACCATGATTAAAACAGCAGAAGTTTGTCGATGAATTTAATTAAATTTTTGGCAAGAATGCTCCAAGGAACAGTCTTTAATGATGGTATGGTGAATTCAATCGATGTCGGTGATCACTCCAAGACGAATTTCTATTAGGTGATTCATAACAGTTTTTTTTCAGAAACTACCGTATTAATGATGTGCGCAAACCAATAATACTAGATCGTCATGTGACCTACCTTGATGTAATGATAGACGCGAGACTCAGCTACAAAGTCCACATTAAGGAAGTGTGCGAAAACACTGCCAGAATAATGGCCAACATAGGAGGACCGAAACAAAGCATCAGAGATTTACAACAATAACGAATAACACCTGATAATATAGACCCTTATATCCGTATGCTACAAGCGAGACAAATGTGGCATACACTTTCCACAAAGCTACAGATGAGGGAGTTCACTGTTTACTATAAAGGCGTATTGCCTCTCAAATCCAATATGATAAGATAATGCCGATTTTTCGTGGTCCCGAATGGGGTGTACCTTTAGTGGGACCAGCATGTTTTTACGTTGACGAGGACATGGCTAAAGCAGAGAAAATAATATATCTAGACTCAAGGCTTTAGTGGGCAAAATGTGGACTTTGCATATGAGATGACCTAGACCTCACTCCACACCATACCTTTGTACAAAATAAAGAAAATAGGACAATTCCTGTCGTGTCAAAACTCGGAAAGAATAGAACAATAGGCGCAAAGAAACAGAAAATCATCGGGAGAAGCTAGCAATGGCACTCCTATGGACAGGACTACTATGAAAGTATACCTTAGACTCAGATGTACCTTACATGGATCATTCTTCACGGGTATACAGAAGATTCGAACACAAAAGATGAAATTGGTGTTAGTGGTGTTAGCAGGCCTGTAGAGATTGTATTATAGAAAAAAATGTCACGCAAATCTTTTATCAGTGATAGGAAACGGAGCTTAGGCAGCCCAGTTCTTTGGGTATAAATCAACATTGGTAAAACTCAGGCAGCTGCTATCGATGTATACAACGTCCGTTCCGCAATCTTGCAGCTTGGACACCAGCGTATATACTCCTTGAAAAGATAAAAATAATATATTCACATTCTGTACATATTCAATTGAGGGTCAGTGCAAAGCGAGTTTATTTTTTATTCAATTTTTATAATGATTTCCAATTGTACTTTTCATGTATTCGTACAAAAACGAAATAAAATTTCCCTCACTTTAGCTTCAGCTTCTCCAGCCACAGTCAGCATTTGACGAGCAAATACGCTTGTGTGCGCCTCCCCAATCGCTCACATGTGCATGAGCGCCATTATACAATCTATTTGCCACTGTCATCAGAGCAATCACGTCACGCCGCCGCTTATACAGCTTCGCGGAACACAAGTGCGCCTAACGATATGCAGCAAACTATATAAGCCTTCCGAGCGCCACTCAAATACGCCATTTACGCCGAGTGAGTTGAGTCTTACAGAACAAATCAGAGCAATCCACACGCAAGCGGAAAAATAATTCGATAAGCTACACAATTATAAAAGCACTACAACAACAAGTACAACGATTTTGTATAAATCTAACAGAAATTAAAGAGATTGAAGCAAGCAACAACAATTTGCTTACGGCTTTAGAACTGCTTCTGTGCGAACGCATAGCGTACAACTGAACACCAACTAACGGTAAAGTGGGAAAACTCACGCCTATAAATACATCAAAGCGCCGAACCCCCCAAGCGCTAATGATGTCTGAGCGGCAAGGCAAGCGCAACAAGTACAACAACTACAACTACAAAAGCAGCCAAAGAGCGCTTAACCTGCATTTGACCACTCAGTCGCCGCTGTTGTTGTTGTTGTCGTTAATGCTCTGCTGTGAAGTGATTTTCATGGAAACGATTGACGCAGCCGAGCTGCCGACCGAGCTGATGTTGGAAAGTGTTGGTTTACTAAAGTCGATGGAACATGCACAACAACACCAACAACTACAGCAACTGCAAGAACAGCAACACCGCTCTAGCCAACAAAAAGGGCATATGTCACATGAACAAGTGAAACGATTTCCCTTTGACACACTCAACTCTGGCAGCGCCGATGTCGGTATCGAAAACATGCAACTATCCGAAATGTCGCCGGTCGATTTCGCGCGCGTCGAACGTGAGCTCTTCCTACAGAGCGCCATTGACGAGACCTCACTGGGCGCCGCCGACGATGTGGAGCTGCCGTTGGAGCCGCTTAGCATGGAGCAGCATGCCGATTTAATGGAGCATGCAATCGATTACAAGCAACAACACCAGCCGACAGCCATGTGGTTGCAACAGCATGGCAGCAGTGGCGGTGAAGGCAAAAAGACCGGCAGCGTCTTCTTAAAATTCCATCATCCACATCAGCAGCAGCAGCACCAACAGCAGAAACACCAGCAGCAGCATCATCTGAGTGGCGACACCGCCAATTCGGTTACACTCGCCCCGCCGCCAATGCCTGTAGCGTCGCCACTGCGCCATTGTGCTTTGGAAGTCTGCACCAAACTGAGAGGTGTTTGCCAGCCAATGCCTACCATCGGCACTGCTTGTGTGGCTGGGGACAACATAGAGGTCTTCCATCAGGATTGCATGTAAAGTGGCCGCTGAGTGGAGCAGTTTACAACGATTACAGCTGTTTTGCTGTTCCTCCTTGCATTTGCCCTCAGTTATTGAGACCCCGTTTGATTACATACCCTCTACAAGCCGTGCAATGTTCTTATATTTATTTTGTAGTTTCATGTTTGTTATTTCAATAGTTCATTCCGACAAAACTGGCATTCTTATAATCTAATAAATTCAACCTCACACTTAAATGTACAGTAATTTATTAATATAGCTTTAGAACAATACATTCTTCAAGAGAGAGCTTTTTATCAACAAATGAGCTTTAGTCCAGCAAAAGACTGAAGGCTTTTGTCGATATTTTTTCCAAAACGTGGCATTAAGAAAAGCATTGTCTTAAAAGTTTCTAACTTTAATTAATTTTTTCTGGTCAATTACGATTTATTATAAAATTTATCCATCGGTGGAGCTTGTTTAGCATGAAAAAAGCAATGATAGAATGAAGAGGTTTCCTAAAAGTGGAAGTAGGTAAACAAAATTATGGTTACTGCAGCTCTCGTGTATTTCGTGTCGACCAAAGTGTACGGTGTGAACGAATAAAATTAGCAATAGTTAAGCATACCCACAATTTTCCTTAGCAGAATTGTATAACAAGCACAAGCACGTGGATTTTTATACTCTCGCAACTAAGTTGCTAAAGACAGTATTCTAGTTTTGTTCACATAACCTTTGTTTGTAAGTCCTAAAACTAAAAGAGTCAGATATTGCGTTATATATACCAAAGTGATCAGGATGACGAGTAGAGTTGAAATCCGAATGTCTGTCTGTTCGTCCGGCCGCCTGTCTGTCCGTCCGTGCAAGCTGTAACTTGAGTAAAAGTTGAGATATCATGATGAAATTTGGTACACGTATTTCTTGGCTCCATAAGAAGGTTAAGTTCGAAGATGGGCAAAATCGGCCCACTGCCACGCCCACAAAATGGCGGAAACCGAAAACCTATAAAGTGTCATAACTAAGCCATAAATAAATATATTAAAATGAAATTTGGCACACAGGATCGCATTGGGGAAGGGCATATTTGGACGTACTTTTTTTTTGGAAAAGTGGGCGTGGCCCCGGCCCCTAGTAACTTTTTTGTACATATCTCGAAAACTACTATAGCTATGTCAACCAAACTGTATATAGTCGTTTCCTTTAGGCATTTCCATATACAGTTCAAAAATGGAAGAAATCGGATAATAACCACGCCCACCTCCCATACAAAGGTTATGTTAAAAATCACTAAAAACGTAAAGTAAAAGTACGTTCACTGACTAACAAAAAACGTCAGAAACACTAAATTTTACGGAAGAAATGTCAGAAGGAAGCTGCATCCACGCTTTTTTTAAAAATTAAAAATGGGCGTGGCGTCGCCCACTTATGGACCAAAAACCATATCTCAGGAAGTACTCTACAGATTTCAATGAAATTCGGTACATAATAGTTTCTTAACAGCCTGATGACATGTGCGAAATATGGGTTAAATCGGTTCACAACCACGCCTTCTCCCAATATAACGCTATTTTGAATTCAATCTGATGCCTTCTCTTTATAATATATACATTAGGAACCAATGATGATAGCAGAATAAAACTTTTCACATATACGGTATTTGATGCGAGGGTATAAAATGTTCGGTGACACCCGAACTTAGCCCTTTCTTACTTGTTAATGCTCGGTTTGACCTACACAAACCAATTATAATTTTTTTTCTTTTTTTACTACCGGAGGGGGAATCTTCGAAAAATACCGTCCTGCTTCAGACGGCATGCACGTTAACCTACACGCACATGAGCCGACATTGTTACCAAGTGCGGAACCTGCGGGATAGGACGCTTACGTACTAAACCCTAACTCCGTCTCCTCCAGCTATTTATTTTTCCTTGCGGGACCGCCGCTAGGCATTTCTTCGATCTATAATTTTTCAACTCCACGTTGATCACGTGTCTATCTCTCTTTCTCCGCCATTCCTTCCATCTAAGCTCTTTTAGGGCTGCTGCGCCCCATTCTTTAACAAAGCTCCACATCTGCTGGGAACGTGTAGTACAATGTTTTCAGGGGTTAGCCGCTCTGTAAAAAGTTCCTCTCTTTTATCTTTAAAAGGGGGCATTCTCATTTCCTTTGCCACAAAAAACAGCGGTCAAATCCATCGTCATCTCCATATACTATGTATGTGTAAATACTCTCTGAAGCAGCCATGCCAGTCAGTTTCTCCGTTTTTTTTTTTTTTCCTACCCAAATTTGCATGTTTCTGATCAACGTGTGTGTCCATCTAAATTTTGTTGATGAGTCAACGTTACGAGTTTTCGAAAGAAAGGTTCTGCGAAAGATTTATTTTCGATTGCGCATTGGCAACGAATACTGCAGTCGATGAAACGACGTGCTGAATGAGTTATATGACGGCATTGACATTGTTCAGCGAATTGAAAGACAGCGGCTACGCTGGCTAGGTCATGTTGTCCGAATGGACGAAAACACTCCAGCATTGAAAGTATTCGACGCTGTACCCGCCGGGGGAAGCAGAGGAAGAGGAAGACCTCCACTGCGTTGGAAGGATCAGGTGGAGAAGGACCTAGCTACGCTTGGAATATCCAATTGGCACCACGTAGCGAAAAGAAGAAACGACTGGCGCGCTGTTGTTAACTCCGCTATAATCGCGTAAGCGGTGTCTACGCCAATTAAGAAGAAGAGATATTGTTGACCTGTGTCTTCGAAAACCATATTGGTTTTCGGCTTAGCCCGGCGGCTCTCTTTCTACATGTTGCTCTAGCCGCATACTGATTATACGCTCCAGTATTTTCCCCATTGTGTCCATACATTTTGGTCGGTAGGAGCCTGGCTCCCTCTGCTGGTTTATTTGACTTTTGTATAAGCTCTAGCCGCTGTTTTTTTGCAAACTTTAGGGAATACTCCCTCTCGTAAGCTCCCGTAAACGGGGTGGGTCTATATTTAGTAGCCCGTTATTCGGGATGCCATCTAGGCCTGATGCTTTAGTATTTGCGAATCTCTCTTCTATAGTTTCTTGGTCAGTGACTAGCGGTGCGTTTATAGCTCCAGATTCTTTTATTTGCAGCCTTTGTAGCAATCGCATTGGAAAAAGGGTTTGGACAACCGTCTTTAATAAACTAGGGCATGTAGGCGCTTGTTCTTTATGGTCTTTAATCTTTGACATGACGATTTTATATGCATCTGCCCACGGGTTTTCTTCGACCTTGTTGCAGAGCTCTTTAAAACAATAGGTTTTGCTCTTCTTTATGGCTTCCTTGAGTTCATTTCGTTTTCGTTTAAGGCGCTCCTTTAGCATTTTGTAATATGCCGTCTGTCGTCCGTTTTGACACTCCTTAGAGCTTCAATAGCCTCATTCCACCAGTATGCGGTGGTTCCTACACATAGCGGCATCGCAGGCTTTGCTCAAATGTTTAACAAGGCATTTACCCTTCTTTTCTATGTCTATAGCATAGTTCGGATTGTCGTCTAGCATTAATTTGTATATATCGTCATCAGCTTTCCAGCATCAATTTTGAACCTTTTTGAGAGACTTAGGCATTTTGTGTGTTTTGTCAATTTCGAGCAGAATTGCCAAGTGGTCATTGTGTGTGCAAGTCGCTCACTTGCAATGTACACGACCGCAATCGGGAGCTACTAGCAAACTTAATATCTATTACAGAATCGCGGCCTTTTTTTAAAAGTTTTTCTGTTACCGGTATTTAGCAAGCCACTCCACTTCCCATGCATTGAAGTCACCTGCCACTGCGTTCATTGTGGTCCTCCTATCGTCTAATTTTAGCAGATTTTCACCAGGTGGCCATATTCCAAACACCGGAAGCAAACTTTAGGGTTCAGCTTCTTTGTAATTCTACACACTACCCATCCTATTTTAATTTTTTTGGATTGAATAAGTAGCCTAGCCTAGCCTGCCTCTCGACAAGTCTCAATGTCGACTCATCAGTTGATGTCATCGTCCAAGCCTCTGCACCTATAGCAGGTCGGGAATTATGAGTGACTTATAGAGTTTGGTTTTTGTTTGTCGAGAGAGGACTTTGCTTCTCAATTGCCTATTCAGTCCGAAGTAGCACCTGTTGGCAAGAGTTATCCTGC